AGGATGTGCATGGCAGCCCTCACGGTTCCATGGGCGGCTGTCTGGCTTACGTGACTTGCTGTGCATCTGTTTGGGTTTTGTGCTGTGGAGGAGAGGGGAGGGGTAGTTTTTGAGTTGGATTCTTAGGCACGCTTACCTGGGCGTGAGCCCCAGTGAAGTTAGTGGGATTCACAAATCTGAATGTACCAGCAGTGGCTACCATGACTTTAGCCCCAGACTCCTCTCTGTTTATTCAGAACTTCCTGTCTCAGCTCAGCAGTTTCACCTGTTCTACTTGCTACGATTAATCTCTCCTCCCAGCTCCAGAGCCCTTTGTGCTAATAGCTGAGCACCAACAAAGCCACCCTATCCAGCAGTTTCTGCTTCTCAGCCTTCCTTCCGCTCTTGCCTGTTGCATACTCCCAAGTATGCTTTGAGGTGCTGTGTGGCATCCAAGCCTCCACTTCCCCATCCTTCTAAGAGGTTTTACCTCCTTTGGGAAAGGCTGAATTGACACCCTGTAATTTTGTGTGGGTCTTAGCTAGCCTGATCTAAGATGTCTCAGGGAGATTCCATTGCAACGTCTCCAGGCAGACCCAAAGCTGAACCATAGCTGGCACTGTCCGTAGGTGCCTTAATGCTGGTTAAGATGCCAGGCATCCCAGAGGTTTCGTCTTGTGCTTCGCTGAGCTTAACTCTGCCTATTCGTCGTGACTCTATGTCGGGAGATGCCAGCGGCCCCTGCAGACAGAGCCCTTGTGTAACTGCCTTCATTGTGACTTGCTGAGCGCCTTGCAGGACTTCAAGACAACTGAAGCACGTCACGGCTTCACACCTGGGTCACAGGCAGTCCTGGCCCGTGGTATCAGTATTCAGCCATGCCATTTAACCATGACCAAGAAAAAACACAATTGTGCCGCTATGCTTGTTTGATGTCGGTTTGGAAAAGATGTGGGAAACCTGGTGGGTGACTGGAAGGAGAGCGAATAATGTTTTCCTCTTCATGAAAAATATAACCCATTCCGTTGCGGGATCCTGTGCATGGCGATACTCCTGTTGCCTTCTGCTGTATCAAAGAGCTAGTGCCTTGTAGCGGGGTAGAGCTGTTTTGGGCATGGGCTAAAGAGCCCTGGGTTCAGATCCCCCGTCAGCTGTGAAGCTTGCCTGGTAGCACTGCCTAAAAGGCTGGGCAGGGGCATGTCCTGCGTATCCTGCCTTGAGATTTGGTACATGGGTGGGGGGTATAAGCGGGATTGTGCTGAAGTACAATGGGAGGAACATATGTGCTGTCCCACAAGAGTTCTCAGAAATAAAGTGGAGGAGAGGCAAACCATCTGTGCTGCCCTGGGCTCCTAAGAGGAAAGGTAGATGGAGCGGTGGCACAGGGGATTTATCCTCTGGTTAAAAGTAACATCTGAGCTGAACAGGACTGTTGTCAGTTCTAGCCCCGCGCTGGTGTGAGCTACCAGCCTTGTCCCCAGCTCGCCATCCACCCAGCGGTTCGAAAGCTTCAGCGAGTAGATAAAATGGGTACCACTCCTTAGAGAGGGTGGGCACACGAGACCCCCCCTCCGTGGGGTGGAGCAGTGTTAGTTGACGAACGGAAGTGCTCGCAAGATCGAAAGCCTAGAAGATCTCTTCGGCATCAAGAAGCCTGTAATGGGCAGTTCCAGCCAGGCAGTGGCAGTATGGAGCTGCGACCCGAAGAGTCCTGGAGAGGAAGAGCTGACGTCATCCGGCCAAGCCGAATGGGAAAAATGCTGTCCGGATCATGTCTGAGTTGCAACTGAACAAATCCCCGTTGGCTGCAAAACGTGTGCTATGGAAAGATGATGTGTGTTATCCTCCCTTATCCCTATAAAGCAGTGTTAGTCCCTTGTGAAATGAGTAACTATAAATCGCTCAGAGCCAGCAGCTCTGCAAGGATTGAGCGATCAATAAATTGAAAGATTAGATTAGAAGGGTAAGATCAAAAAACGTGAGTGATGACCTTGCATCCAGCCCCAGCATAAGGAGAGTGGAGTGTTCCTACCTCCCCTTTCCTGCAGCTGCCCACTGACACCTTGAAATGCTGCTCCGGGAGTGGGTTCAGCACAGTATGCAAGTCCACAGTGGACTGCCCCTCCATTGGCAGAAGTCCTGTTCGCCCGGTGGAGAGCTCCTTTTGGATAGACCCAGTGGGAAAAGCATGTGCTTGCCAGACTTCAGAATGTCCCTCCCTCATGGGAAGACAATGGATTGGGGTGTCTCTGCTTGGATCACTGTAGCAGAACCCATATTTTATCACTGCAATGACATTGGCACCACAGCAGGCAGAAGATTGGGCTGGCATAACTCTGACTGGCAGGACAACGAGTAAGCAGTGGGGCTTGTGAGTCGGGCAGCCAGAACTGGTGTGCTGTGAGAAAACAGGCAAAGCAGGAGGAGGAGATCGCCAGAGCCTCCTGAAGCTGCTGAGCAGCAGAGGATGACCAAGTCTCTTCCCGCGGCGTCCCGAATTGTGCCTCATCACTGGGTCCCACCCGCCCCTCCCCTGCTGTCTTAGGAGCTTGTATCTGGTTTCGTTGGCTCCCGGCACCATGGCTACTTGTACCCCTTTCTGGCCCACACCAGCTCTTTGGCCACGGATAAGCAGCCAACAAGAGGCTCTTCCTTCTCACAATGAGAACATGCGAAGGGGGGATCTGGGCATCAATAGCACAGCGGCAGTCCCCTTCTCTGAGCTTGAGAGTAATAAAAACATATGTATTTGGTCGATACTTGGGAGCCTGGACTGTTATGAAGCTATTGATGTAGAACAGAAATAGATGAGCCCTCCTCATCTGTGTATTTCTCTGCAACATGTACTTAATCGGAGAGTTGCTGTGTTCCCCCCCCCCCTTTTCTTGCAGTGCTTACCATGCCCCTCATTTTTTGTTCCCCGTGTTGACTCCTGGAGTGGCCACTTCGTTTCGGGTAAAAAAGGATATGTAACTGGCCAAGAGCAGGCCTTGGGGAAATGTATCTGATCACTGCTTGCTCGTTTTTCCACGGTACTTCCCTTCTCTGCCCCTCAGCAATATGGTGTAATTGAAATGGGCTTCAACTGGTTGTTAGATCTGAGTGGCCCATTTTCCTGTAATGTTCCGCTAGAGCTTGTGTAGACAAAGTGAGATGTGTTAGGTAGTTCTGTGGAGGTTCTTTGTGCGCAAGGCATCTTGCATTGTGTTCATGCAGCACTCCATGTGCGGGAGGGAACCTTGTGCCGTGGACTTGTGTGACTTGCACAGCTTTCAAAAGAAGAAGGAATGTTTTGGGGCAGTGAGGGCCATCAGCTGGATGGAGCAGTCTCAAATTGCAGGCGTTTTAGGAGATGGGCTGGAGTCCTTTGTTTCGCTCCATCCCTCCTCGTTTGGGATTGGTCCCTGCCCTTGGGTGATCTTGCTGGGAGCATGACATTGGGTCTGTTCTGCAAATGGTGGTGCTTTCTGCTGAAGGGGATCAAAGCAGAAGGCTCCCTGTGCCAGAGGAGAGATCTGCTGCTTCCTGCAATAGATTTGCAAGATCCAGTGTCATAAAGTTGGCAAGTTGCATCATAGAAAAACAATGTTGATTTCATTGCACCCCACCCTTTTTTCCAAGATGCTCAGGGTGGCATACCTTGGTTCCCATCATTCATTTTATCTTCACAGCCCTCTTTGGAAAGAGTAGATTAGGTTGAGAGAGAATGACTGGGCCAAGGTCGCCCAGCAAGCTTCCGTGGTAGAGTGGGAATTCTGAATCTGGTTCTCTTAGATCATAGTCTGATCTTCTTGGTGGTGGAAAGTGCTGGCTTATGTCAACTGCATAGGTTTTCAAGGCAAGAGCTGTTCAGAGGTGGTTTGCCATTGCCTGCCTCTGTGTACCAACCCTGGACTTCCTTGGTGGTCTCCCATCCAAATACTAACTAGGTTTGACCTTACGTAGCTTCTAAGATCTGACAAGCTATCCAGGTCAGGGAGTCTGACCTTAGACTGAGGAAAATCTCCAGAATCAGCTTCTGATTCTAAAGGTTTTTCTGAATCAAAAGGGTATCTCTCATATCTTCTATGGCTTCACCTGCCACATACATCCGCCCCTTTCCCTGCTGGCAGGTCCTGCACTCACGGTCCATGGAGATTAATATGTCTGGGGCAGTGATGCTCTGTATTCTTGGTGCTTGGGGGGCAACAGTGGGAAGGCTTTTGGAGTTCTGGCCCCACTGGTGGACCTTCTGACGACACCTGGATTTTGGCCACTGTGTGACACTTGAGTGTTGGACTGGATGAGCCATTGGCCTGATCCAGGACAGCTTCTCTTATGTTCTTAAAAAGATAATGTGAGCTCTGGAATTAAGGCCAAGAGCTTCTAAGAAATGCATAATCTAAGCTAGTTTCACAGAACAATGTCAACTCTGCTTATTCAAGAAAACATTCAAAACTCAACTTCTCAAGAGGTTCATGTTACTACATTGCTAATTTCAAGATGGCAGCTATCTGGCAAAATGGGCTGTGACCCATGAAAGTTCATAGTGAAATAAAGCCAGTCAACTCTCCATTTCTCATTGTTTTAGATATGAAAATTAAGACTTCTTTCCCCCCCCCCACATTTTTGTGTTCATGTTTGTGTGGAAGAAACTGCTTTTAAAGACCCCACCCCAGCACTTTGAATTTACACGCCAGCCAAAAGTGAATGGGTTTATCCAGTTGGTGCACAAAACGTTTCAACCATGTCTGATCAGATGCCTTGTCCCATTCCCCTGTGCAGACATTTCAGAAGGATGTCTTGTGTAGTTTCTTCCTTTGGTTCCTCACCATCCCTTACATCTACTTAAATTTCCTAACACTGGAGAGGTTAACGTGGTCTTGGGAGGGGAGGAACTTGACACACACTTTAGATGAATGCTTTCAGATGGTGGGGTGGGGTGCCACACCATCCGTTTACCTGCTCCTATTGAGTAGAAATGTGATAGCGCCTGCATCTTGGTGGCTCACGGTTCTTTAACCGCCCTATTCCTTTAACAGGTCTTCGTTTAAGTTGGCTCCATGGAGCACAGATAAGAGAAACCCAGAGAAGTATGTCATCATAAGCCCTCTCTCAATGCTTTGTTGATTAGACTAAAAATCTCCCCAAATCTCTGTGTTTTGGCTTCTTCTTTTATTTTCATTTTTTTAAATGAATACCAATCTGCTTGATCTTTTTATATCGGGTTTAATTTGGGGAGGCTCCTTTGTGGCAGTCAGGATGGGGTGGGGGAGAGAAAGGAGTTGCCACACTTTCCAGGGATTTGCTGGGGGGGAGGGAGGCAGGATTCTCTCCCGTGCCTCTCAGCATGAGGGTGAGCTGGATCAATTTCCTATCCTGTGTTCAGCTGGACACGTTGCTTCTAGGCTGTTGATGATCAAGAAATCCCCTCCTGTTTTCGTCCCACGTAACGCATTCATTTCAGCCACTGAACCTAAATTGCTGTTTCTGCTCCTCTGCCGCCGCCGCTGCTTCCTTTTTTCCCCTTTTGTTTGTTTTTTTGGGTTCCCCCCCTCTCCCCTCCATGAAAATGGTAAGAACTCTTCTCTTCTATAGAGGTGAAGTTAGTTTATCCGTACTAATGCTTTGATTTTTTCTTTTCTCTCTCTTCTCTGCCACAGTAGGTAACCAGTTAGGGGCCCTGGTACATCAAAGGTAAGCAGTGGGTTATGTTTTATTATTTATTGATCACTTCTAATTGTTTATTGATCCACCCATCTGTACCAGAGAGTTAGAAGTCAGAGGTTGAGGACGTGGCAAAACTGCGAAGACTCTGTGCTCCACCAGCATGCCTGCATGTCTAGGAAAGAGGCGAGGGCTGGCGGGGCCAGTGTGGACACAGGATAAGCTGAAGTGGGAGGCTGGGCTGAATTAAGCCGGTGGGTCAAATCCTGTGAATCTGTTCCACTGGTGGAGGTTCTTTCCTCTTCCCGATCATCTTGTGACAGGGAAAACCTCCTCCTTCTCCTCCTAAAGGAATTCACCTGTGTCAATAGAGAACATCCCACAGATCCCTTCCAGCATCTTGAGCCAGGGTCCAAAGAACTGCTTTGAACAGCCAGTGCATTTTTTTTTTTTTACCAATAGATCCAGAGGTCATTTTAAAGGAGCAGAAAATGTGTGGAGGACGACCCCCCCCCCCCCGATCTTGCACTGCATCCTATCGCAATGTTCCCAAGGGTCTCCTGTCTCCAAGGAGCAGCATTTGGGAACTCAGTAGGCTGGAGTGGGGCGGGGAGAAATGTTTTATATCAGTGGAACCTTTGGTTAGCACTTGTGGTCTTGAAACACTGGCCTCTTGCGGGCTGTGAAATGCATTGCCCTCCCCTGAGTGTGCTTGGTGGTACTCTGGACATCCAAACATTTGTTTTAAGGAACGAACCTCCAGCTTCTGCAGCAACAGCTGTTTGTGTTAAATGCTTTGCAAAAGAGGGTGCAAAAAGCAGTGAGGCTCCTGGGGTACTGGTGGATTTGGGGCAGGGGGCTGGAATGTAAAAATTGCCTTCCGGGGGGAGAGCAAGGGGCTGCATCTTGTCCAGCATTCTGTTCCAGCAGCGGCCACTCCGATAACTCTGGAAAGCACATGAGTAGGGTGCAGAAACCACGTGCTCTGTTTATTCCCAGCACTGGATGTATACTACTTCCGTGGAGGCTCCATTTTGCAGTGGGGGGTGGGAGTAGGGTTGCCAAGTCGCAGCGGGGGATCGTAGGTCTTCACAGAATCCTTGCCGCGGGGACAGCGAGACGCGTTGCACCCGCTGCCGCCAGAATCTGACGCTACGCGTCGCTCTGGCAACGGGGCTCCAAACAACCCTGTTGCCAGAGCGACGCATAGCGTCATGTCCTGGCAACGGTGATGCAACGCGTCTCACCGTCCCCGTGGCAAGGATTCTGCAAAGACATGCAGATCCCCCGCCGCGATTTGGCGAGATTTGGCAGGCCTAGGTGGGGGTAATAGCTGTGGACCAGACGAAATCATGCTGGTTTGTCTAAGCTGGTAGCTTTTGCTGTCCCTCCTGGCAGTGAGGTCTAGAGGACAGTTTTGTGCTTTGTTGAAACACTACTTCTGTACCTTGTGTCAGCTTCACTGAAGTAGCCCTGAGGTTTGGATTTTGGGGGAAGAGAAAATTATGTGAGGGAGGGGGCAGTTGAAACCCATCTTCTGGAGACTGGAAGGTCATCCATAGACTTCTCCACTTGTGCAGTCTTCTGCTACTGCTTTTCCTACAGATTAGCATAGGAAAGATCCGGCTCGCCAAGCAACCTTCCCTCTCCAAGCAAACTGCCCCTTACCCCCCACGTCGTGTGACAGCCCAGTGATCACCTTCCCTGGAAGAGGCTTGATGTCAGTTCTGTTAGGAATGCTATTCCAGTGGTTCCCAACTTTTTCAGTGGTGGTGTCCCACAAGTCCAAATGTACTTGGTATTGTGTCCCATCCAGGTTTTTTGGTGCCCTGGGCAAACTGACTTTGGCACCCATCTAGTGCAGCATTCTATTTTCTACAGGTGCTAACCAGATGTTTTTGAGAAACCAACCAACCTTGCACAAAGGGCACAGCTGCCCCCACTGTGAACCCTAAGCAAGTGTGTCATCCCAACAGGCACAGCCCTTTGCATATGGAGGTCACCTTCCACCCTCTGACCACCCTCTCCTTCTCCATTGCGCTCTCTAGTACCCCCAAAGATACTCAGTCTAGTGACCATCGGGACACACTTCACTTGATGAACACGTATATGCCGTGAAGAAAAAATAGATGATGTTGTTTCCAGGGTCCGGTCTTGGTTTCCAAAATACAAAAGAGAGCAGTGGAAAGGGCAGGGGGTCTTGCCATTAGGGAGTCAAGGCCCACGACCCATTTTGGGTCCTGACTCATAGGTTGGGAAACGCTGTGTTAATCTTCTCTGTAAGTGTGTTTGAAAGCAAAGGCTGGCCTCCAAGGACAAGATTAGCTCATTGGCCAAAAGTCCCTTTCCTTCTTGCATGGTGTGAGAGTTTTCTGTCTCTGGTTCACCATCTTGGAACTCAGCGAGCTTCCAAAGCATGGCATTCCATGACTGTTGCCATCTATGGGAAGGCTATAATTTATCTCTATGATCATGATTCTTCCTTTCTCTTCTTTTCAGGGCAGTAATAACTGAAGAATTTAAAGTGCCTGACAAGATGGTAGGATTCAGTAAGTATTCCAGTGGAGGCGATTTTCTTTCCTGCAAAAAAAGAACAGTTATTCCCGTTCCAGCTTAATCTGTATTATGATAGGTAGGTGTTTGGCATAACAGCACGAGTTCGATTAGTGCTGCTGAAAATGAGGCAATTTGGGTGGGGAAAATGCATTTCCCCCCCTGTGAACTTTAAAATCAGTTGAGGATAATTTAGTTACTTCCTGCCTGCTACAGTGACCTGCAGTTAAAGAGCCAGATGGCAAACTTTGCTGATAACTCTGCCTAGGTGATGAATGTATGGAAAATTGCACTGGAGGGAAGTCAGGGGGGGGGGCAGCATATATTGCTTAAAGCTAGAATCCCTTGCACTTGCTTTGCATGCCCCAAGTCTCAGCTTCAGTCCTTGCCAGTTCCAAATAAAAGGATTCTGATGGCCGGGCTGAGAGAGAGACTCTTACTGTAGACTCTAGAGATTCACCGGCTGGTTAGAGCCAGTACTAGCTGGATCGAGATGCTCACTTGGAACAAGGCAGCAGCACATGGTCAGTTCAGGAATTCCAGAAATAAGGGCATTAGCAGAATCCCCACTTTGCATTTTGCTGCTTGGCTGTATTGGAAATAGCTGCATCTGTACTGGGTGGCTCCTTCCTTGGTCAAGGTCTATGACCTTCACAGTGCTTTCTTCACCCTGAAGAGTTGTCCTATCATTCTGTGCCCCCCCCCCAAGTAGTTTAACTTTTTGGTAATACCAAATTTTGGCTGGGCTTTTTAGCCAGCTATTAGCGTGTGTTGTCACTGCTTTGCTCTCTCCGCCAAAAGTGCTTTCTACCCACTCCGTCTTCAGTGTCTTGCTTCCCCTGGCCCTCCTGCAAACCCTTTTGCACTTTTATTTATTTGCAAAATGTGTATCCTGTCTATCTGCCCTTGTGAGGGCCACCAAGGTGGCTAACAATTAAAAACGTGCGTGATAAAATTGCATTTTAGAACTATTAAAATCAATCGGCTGCAAATTCACATCATTAAAACATCTAAGAAACAGAGTTAGAATACATACAAAATATGAAAACAGCAGTTAAACCCGTGGTTAGGAAGGAAAGATCATGGAGGGAAGCCAAATGAAACAAAGAAGTCTTCACCCGCAGGTGGAAGAGGGCAGCGGAAGGGGACAGAGGAGGGAGTGCCAGAGCTTTGGTGCCACCGCCGAGAAGGCCTCTCCCCTGGGTTGCCACCCACCTAATCTCAGAAGGTGGGAGCCTCTGAAGCAGGGCCTCCGAAGAGGACTGTAGTGGTCGGGCAGGTTCTTAGATTCCCCCAGTTGCCTTTGTCCTCCTGTCCTGCTGCTTCCACCTGCTGGTTTTCCCTCACGGGGCTGCTGCCTCCCACACTCCTGAGGTCACAATCACCCAGAGGGCCACAGTGCCAGGAAATATCCCCGTACGTTGAAGAGCCGTACCCGCTGGAATCTCTCTGTGCTTGTCCTGCAGCTTGGTAAGGCAGGACGAGAGCTGAGACCAGTGGGAGTGGAAAGGCTGCCAAAAACAAGAGTGCCAAAAACAAGAGTGCCTCCTTTCCCCTGTAGAGACAAGGATGCATTGACCTGCCACAGTCAACCTGGAAAGGCTGCCAAAAACAAGAGTGCCGGAGTCAAGGATGCATTGACCTGCCACAGTCAACCCACAGCAGCCATTGCAACAAATGTGGTGGGGTATTTTTGGACAGTTCAGGGGAATCGTTGATCAGAACACATCTCCTATCCATTCCTCAGAGCCAGAGCTGACTAAGCGGTGGCCACGTTCCATGGACAACTAGTCTGGAACCTGCCTGCCTGCTCTTGAAGTCAAAACTCATTCTGCTCTTCTGAAAGCAATGATGGTTACATCCTGGGTTTTGTTTCAGTTATCGGCAGAGGTGGCGAGCAGATCTCCCGGATCCAGGCGGAGTCGGGCTGCAAAATTCAGATTGCTCCAGGTATGAGATAATCCCCCCCCCTTCTGTCGCCTACCTGTGGAGCAGGTTGCCCTTGCAGTGTGATTGCTAGACTTTGGCTGGGTCTTGGGATGTCTGCCCGGGACATTGGTTGAGATGGGCCCCAGGCAGACCGGGACAGCTGGACTCCTGCATGCTCCCGGAGGATTCAGGCATGAACTTCAACTGCCTTCACACGGGAAAAAGCTTTGCCGCTTGATTCAGCTGAAATGGGTGCGCTGGCTCTTGCCTGACAGGATGTGTCTTCAGGTGGTTGCTGCAAACGTCATTCCAGATTGATGGCATCAGATTTGTCATTCTCTTCTTGACTGGAGTTCTGAAAGCAACTCACAGCGAGTGCAAGAGGTTCCGTTAAAATCAATAAAGAAATCCTCCAGTTTCCCGTTCAAAAAGCAGGGCTACAAGATAAATGGACCAGTGAGAGGAGATGTAGTTGGAGAGAACAGGTTTGAAAGACAACGTTTCGAAGTGCAATGAAAAAAACCAGTCTTAAAAGTCGTTAAAAAAAACCCACTCCCATGTCTGGAGAGCATTTAGGTTCTCTGAACATGGGGCTGTGAGTAGCTGAGGGGGGCAACTCTCTGATCCAGAAGGTGGGGCGTGATGGTGTCTTTGCCCACCGGCTCCTGGTGTCCTTGGCAGGGGCTGGCTGGAAAGTTAAAATGGCTCCAGAGCAAGCCAAGCGGAGTGATCCGACAGTGCTACAAACTAGTCACCAGCTGTCCTTTAGGGCAGTGGCCCCCTGGGAAACTTCAGTGGCCGGTCTGCTTACGTTCATTGAGCACCTGTAGCTGCCTGACAAAGGTACATAAGGGAAGCTGGAAGTGTTCACCTCAGTACCTAAAGAGTGCTGAAAGAGCTGGGTAGTTCAGGGGCTGTGTGTGTGCTATTTTAAAGTAAATGACAAGGAAAAGGCCTGCGTCATTGAATCAGTTTTTTAAAAATCTCTTGATCGCCCAGAAGAACACCTTCTGGCTTTATCAGGCAACAATTCTTTTTACATTTAAAAAAAAAATACAGAAAGCACAGACAGCGAGCTCCAGCGTGAAGGAGGCACTCTCTCTTCTGTCACACGACAGGGAATGCCTCTTCTGCGCGGGCCGCCTGCCACGTCCCTTGAGTGCATCGTTTATTTTGTTGCGTTTCACATCCTGCCTTTTGGCCACAAGTTCCTCAGAGCACTTTGCAACATTCTGAACACGCCGCCTTTGACCCCTTATTCCTCTCCTCCCTGGTATCCTGGCACTCTGCTGCCAGGTGCCTCAGATGTTCTTTCCTCAGGGACTTCAGAATGGCCATTGCTGATTGGGGGTCTTTTCCTATCTCTGCTAGGTTTTTATCTCCCTAATCCTCCTGGGAGTTGCCTATTATCTTTACAACGACCCTGCAGAGTAGGTTATGCTGAGAGAGAGCACAACTGGCCCAGGGTTATTCAGTGAGCTTACATATGATTGGGGATTTGAACTCCAGTACTTCCAGGACTCACCTGGCACTCTGACTGTTATAGAATCATAGAATGTTAGAGTTGGAAGGGACCTTGCAGGTCATCTAGTCCAACCCCCTGCACTCTGCAGGAGCATAGCCGAAAGATAGCCCTACAACATGCCCGGAAGATGGTCGTCCAACATCTGCTTGAAAACGTCCAGCAAAGGAGCCTCTACCACCTCCCGAGGCAGACTGTTCCACTGCTCAACCTCTCTTACAGTTAGGAAGTTTCTCCTGATATTTAGCCGGTATCAACTCCCTTGTAATTTCCACCCATTAGATCTAGTCTTGCCATCCGGAGCAAGACAGAATAGATCTGCTCCATCTTCTACATGACGGCCCTTCAGATGTCCTCTCTAAGCCTTCTCTTTCCCAGGCTAAACATGTTGAACAGCATGTGGATCCTCCCCAATCTCAAGACCCTCTAAAGTGTTTAACGGCGAGGCTTTTTTGCTTTGAAATGGGCATTTTCTTTTAAACATAGACTTATTTTATTAGAAAGCATATGTTCACTGGTTGATGACCTAAATAACAGGAGGAGAGAAGGGAGGGGCTGTGGCTCGGGTGCTGAGCGCCTGCTTTGCCTACAAAAGGTCCCAGGTTCAGTCCCCAGCATCTCCAGTTAAAGGATCTCACAGGTGTTGGGAGGTCCATCCAGAAGTGAACATAGTTGGCCCAGAAGCAGTGTGCTGCTGAGGGAGGGGTGGGACCCTGATTTCTGGGAGGGGGAGGTGGTGGTGGGGCTGGAGGCAGCGTGGCAGAGGCCTGGGGCAGCCTGCCGTTGCAGCAAGCCGAGGAGGGACAAGTTGGCCGGGCTCTGGGAGGCGGGGGGAAGGTATGGGCCGGAGGTGGAGTCACAGAAGCCCTTAGAGGTCGGGGGACCAGCAACAGGCAGCGCTGCAAGACTTGGGAAAGCCAGAGTCTGGGCCACGCAGGAGGCTGGGCCTTGGTACCCCTGGAGGCAGAGGCAGGCTAACGTGAGGCCAGGAGGCCTGAGCTCAGAAGGCTTGCAAGGGAGAAGCCACGGTGGGGAGGGATCCACGGGACATCTCACCTTGTGAGGAAAGACGCCATCCGGGGAAAGGAGTATTTGTGCAGGGGCCCAAAGAGGAGCCAGCAGGGAGCGCGTCTGAGAACTTGGGGGCTCATGACACCTTCTGTATTTGAAACTGTGGAGAGCTGCTGCCAGTCAGAATAGACGCCCCTGAGCCAGAGGGGCCAGCAGTCTGGCTTGGCAGCTTCCTAGTGTTCCTCCGCAGCACACCTACCCTTCCCCACCTGAGATCTCCAGCCCTGGAAAGTCGGTTCAGCCATGTGCCTGAAAGAGTCTTGCCCGGTGAGCTTCATGTCTAAGGCGCTGGATGGTACGTGAACATTTGAGCCCTTTGGTTCACCTTGCCACCTTGATAATACTGAGTCCCCAGCACTGTTGGGCTCTCCTTGGCTTTCCTGCAATTCTGGGCACACCCGAGGGCTCTGTGTTGGGGGCAGGACTGTGCATCCCGACACACTCTATTTTCTAGCCCTCGTGGGATTGGTGATGCTAGCAGGTGGCTTGTACCCACTGAAATCTCTGCATGCAGGAAGGTGTCCGGCTGAGATTGCCTACTGGGGGAGTGGGGTTCTGGGAGTCAGTGCTCCGCGCAGGTTGTCTTCCCCCGTAGCTACAAGAAGCAGAATAAATTATGCAAAACAAAGGCATTTAAGCAAAAATGGTCTTGTTTTGCACAATCTGTTACCAGGAGCAGAATTGAGCTTTTTATGGTGCCGATCTCAGGTTCTGTTCACGCACGAGCTACAGCCCGGGCTGCAAATCTGAATTAAAACACAAATCACAAGCTTGGCGAAGGGTGGTAGTTTGAGAACTGTGATATGGGCCCCACACATGTGTCGTCTTCTTCTTTGTCTTTGTAGACAGTGGCGGCATGGCCGAGAGACCCTGTGTGCTCACTGGGACACCAGAGAGCATTGAGTGAGTCTTTTAAAAATGTATTATTTGCTTTAAGCCCCTTCCTTCCCTTCTCTCCTCTTTCCTCTTTCCTCCTCTGTTTCCCCCCCACACACACACACACCCCTTAACTCTTTTCTTCTCTGCATTGCTGCTCCCGTTTATCCCGTACAAAAAAGGGGTGGCCCCTGCCCAGCCAAACAGTCACTCTTCTCCAAAGCTTCCTGGAACAGACTGAGTTCACTTGTCCAAGGCTGCCTTTAATGTTACCCTCCTTCCCTTTCCTAATTCAGACTGGTCCGTACAGAAATATGTTTTAGGGCACCCGAGGCCTATCTGATTATGCCAGCCTTGTAAACAGTGACACAGCTGAGACGCTCCAAAGAAATCCTGCCTGCCAGTGTCCATGTTAGCAGTACAAAAACGAGCTCTCTTGCGCTTTGTAAAATCTTCTCTATTTTGGTCACCTGGAGCAAGACGCAGGTTGCCCCAGGCGAACGTGCTGGTGGCTGTTTACAAGACTGGATTCCCTGACTGCTCGGAATGCCTCCTGTGCCTGTTCCCTCACCCCTGCAGGCTCCCAAGTCCTTTTGAACTGGCCATCCCTTCCACCTGAATGTGGGCAGGGAGTGCACACGAAGGCGGTCCTGAGCACTGTCAGCAACACCTGAATAAACTTGGGTGGTGTTGCAGCAAAAATACGCCCTCCCGCTCTCCCCCAGCCTGAGACCTACCCAGTTCGTTTAATTTGGTCCGTGCATGTCAGTAATCCCCCGATCACCACCGTGAGTTTGGCGCAACACCACCCACATTCTGTTGGGTTCTCCCCAAGCTCCTTGCAAGATCCTACCATGTGGCAGCCCAGCCGGGGGGGTTTCTGCGCTCTCTCTCTAGCCCTGTAGAAACTTTAGGGACAGTCTTTCCTCCCTCCCCCTCCCCAGGAGCCGAGTTTGCCTCTCCCAAGCCATTTTGAGGACCTCCCCACTCGGACTTGGAGCCACGAGCCTCAGGCTTTCAGGAACCCACTTAACAAAACGGAGCGGCTCTTTCTGTCCCCCAGCCTTTGGGGTAGGTGGGTTTTTTCCAAATCCATCCCAGAATCTTCTAATTTTTTTTTTTTAAAAGAGTTGCATTTTGGTGCTTTGAAAAGAAAATCAAGGAAGGACCCTTGAAATCCTCAGGCCTTAGAGATTGCGCTTTTAAAAAAGAAAGTCTGCTTTGTTTCTGCATTTGAAGGTCTTGTAGGGCTGTAATTCCTCAAGCGTTGAAGCGGAATAAGTATGATTGACAGGTGCATGTTATAGGGCAAGCAATATGGGATTTTTTTTGCTAGTATTGAGGTGGGTTTCTCCCTCCTCCCTCTTCCTTGCTCTAAATGGATGTTTTGGAGGAAGAAGGGAAATGATGAAAAGCTGTAAGATCTTTCTTTTTTTTTAAGTGTGTGCCTGATGGTGGAGGAGGGGACGCTTACATTGCCATGCCTGTCTTGTGCTGAGGCACCAGGCCTCCTGTCTGGCTTCTGCTTACACATCTGGCTCTTTAGAGCTAGATAGGAAACCAAGGCTGGGAAAGAGAAGGTTTTGTCGGGTAACCCTTTGAATTTTATTCTGTCCTACACGTGCCATGGTAGACGCTTCCAACAAGAGACTGCTGTGCACAGGAGTGTCCAGGGGGAAGGTCTGTAGTTTGCTGGTGGTCACCCTGGGTTGCAGGAAGCAGTGGTACAGTCACCTGGGAGGGCGGGAGGTTCCCTAGCAGGAAAACCCGTGGACCTTGCTGTGGCACAAAGCTCGGACCCACAATTTTGACTGGCCTCGTCCACACCATGTCATGGAATCCTACATGCACAAACCAGCCCAGGTGGACCCGCACAGGGTCTGTTGTGCATCTTGTGGGTGGCCCCTCATCTTGTACTGTAGACGGGCGGTACTCCACCCAGGGTCATTGGCCCCCGGTTATTCTTGTGAAGTGTGTTTATTTCTGGCCCTTCCTCCCAGAAGCTTCGTCCCTTCTCCTGTTTGATCCCTACCGGAACCCTTCCAAGAGGCGGGCCTTCAGCTTCACGCTGGAGCAGGAATTCGACCCTGGGTCTTCCTTGGCCCGTCACTGGCTCTCAGTTCTGGCCGATGGAGTTGGGGGATCAACTAAAGGCACTTGGTGGTACCGCACCAGCCATCAGCATTAGCCAGGCAAACAGGAAGTCCAAAGAGACTTTGTGCTCCTGGTGTTCAGAGCGAATATTTTGCCCTGAGGCAAGTGTTGGCCGTCCCTTAGCCCATCTGTATCAGCAGTGGGCCAAATGGGCATCTTCCCTTCCTCTCCTCGTGTATGCAGAGGATAGCTGTCAACAGCCATCCAAGTAGAGGGTAGCAGTTAGGCCCTGGCCAAGTAGGGAGCCTGGACGTTTCTCAGAATGGTATGTGTGTGGGGTGGAGGGTTGGAATCAGCAAACGAAAAGTCTGACTGGGTGGGCTAAGTGGAAGGGCCTTTCCAGAACACTACGTGAGAACGTAGCATTTGAGAGGCCTCTGCATCTTTGTCATCTTCTCCTCACCCACCCTGACGCCAGAGTCGAAACGTGCGAAGAAGCCTGATCCAAAATGCCGAGTTGCCATAGTGACTGCCAGTTACCTTCTCATTTCTCTTTCTCTCTTTCTCCCCCCCCCAAACTTCCTGCATCCCAGTGATATTTTTTGCCTAGACCCAGCCAGATGGGAAGAGTGCAGTATAACTGTGGTTTTTTTCCCCTTGAATTTTCTCTTTATGGCTCCCCTCCAAAGACAAGCAAAGCGGCTATTGGGACAAATTGTGGACCGCTGTCGGAATGGGCCTGGCTTCCACAATGATGTGGACGGCAACAGCACGATCCAGGAGATCCTAATTCCGGCATCCAAAGTGGGCCTGGTCATTGGCAAAGGTGGAGAGACGATAAAGCAGCTGCAGGTAGGCAGGATATCATGTCTTTCCTCCACTGCTCCGCTCCACTTCCACATCGTTGCAGACAAAAGTGCTTTATGCTTGATGCCAGTTGTGGGCAGAGGGTTGAGTCACAGGGGTCTCTTCCACTAGGGTAGGATATTTCTGGCATGGGAGGTTCTGTTTCTTCCAGAGAGCACCTCTAATAGAGGAGCAGAGCTGCAAGATCTAACGCAGAGTCCATTGCTTTCTGACTATGCCACGGCACCATTGGAGTACGTGACGCTTGGCACAGTAACGCAGGTTCAGGTCCTACAACTCCCTTCTACCAAGTCTTTGTCCAGTGCATAGACAGAGAACATCTTTCACTGGAGGAAGACTTGGCAGAAGGGAGTTGTTGGATCCAACCCATTAACAAAAGAGCCTAGTTCCTGCCTGGGAGCTGAGATCCTAGGGAGAGGACCTCCTAACTCTCCCACCGGTCAAAGAGGCTCATTGGGTGGGTACACAAGAGACGGGGCCTTTTCAGGGACAGCCCCACAGTTATGGAACAACCTCTCCAGGGAGGTGCGCCTCGTCCCCTCACTTTCAGTCTTCAGGAGGCATCGGAAGATGGTTTTATTTAGAGCCAAAACCTCCAAAGGAAGTTTAGAAAACTAGTAAGGGGCCAAAAATTAAAAACATCAATAATGATAGACAAAAATACACGTGTCTATGTCAAAAGCAGTTAAAAACCTTGTAAGGGTCCAAGTAGAACCTCATGGTATAGTCAAAGTGACAAATGCACAAAAGGAACTATATATGACCTGACGCATTTTGGCCCAATCTGGAACTGTTCACTGTATATACTGATGTTACAGTGGCCCTAATAGGGTGATTGTACTGGCATCTCTAGTTAAAGAACCTCATCTTGCTTTCACAGACTGAGTTTAAACAGCGAAAGTGAGGTGTTGGGGTACTGGTGATCTTGTGGTTGTGTTGCTTAGTTTCAAGCTTTTAGTCAAGTTGTACTTCAAGAACATCAACATAAAGAACTTTGTTGGATCAGAACAAGGGTCTGCCTAGCTTAGCATTCTGTTGTTGGAAAGAGTCTCGGGTTTCCTTCAATATTTCATGCTGTTGTCAGCAAGCGGAATTCTGTGCCTTAGCCCCATTTTCCATCACATGCCTGTTGAATTGCAGCAGACTTTTGGTGGACTGGTTTGTGGGTCAAAGATCCCATCATGTGCCCTGAGAGAGGATTTTCCTATAAAGCAAAGTGGTGCATCGACGTCTTTCCTTGCTAGCTTTCCTGTGATTTTTGCCTTTTCGAAAAATGGAGCTGTCAGGACAAGCTAGATGGATCAAGCTGCTTAACAGATTATTGACCTGCACTTTGGGGCTTCTGTTATTATTTTCTCTCTCTCTCTTTTTATGGCCTTCTGCCTGTTTTGGCATTCCATTTATTCTTGCTTTTCCATTGTCTGCGTGTTGCATGTGCAGGAACGAACAGGCGTGAAAATGATTATGATCCAAGATGGCCCTTTACCGACTGGAGCGGATAAACCTCTTCGGATTACTGGAGATGCTTTTAAAGTACAGGTGTGTATCAAAGAGGATTTGCGGTCATGCTGATAGAGTTTTAGGAGGATTTGGAATAATGGCACAGTTGGCGGTGCTCATGAGCCACTCGTGTGTGTGTGTGTGTGTGTGTGTGCGCATGTTTGGGGAGGGGAGACTCTGAGGCCTGCGGGCCAAACAATCCTCTACCTATTTACATCTGGCCCCCTTACATTAGCACTCTCCCCAACTGAATTCTGCCAAGTAAAGAAAACCAGAGAGGCGTGCAAATCCTTGTATTGCCGAAAAGAAAAAGGGAAATGTAGCTATCTAATTAGTTCTTCTTGAAATCGCAGTACAATGGAAACTGTCTTCACTCGAAGGAAGGCATCTTTGCAGGAGGGATGTGATACTGTGATTCAGCTTGGCTGCAGCAACAGAACTTTTTGAGTGCTTTTGTACTGTGGCTGGTTTGGAACCTCCACTCTGGATTCCCCTAGGAAGGAGAGCTCCTGTTGCCGCAGATGGGCAAAGGGAAGGGAGCAACCGGTGACAAGGGAGGGGTATTTGCTGTTCTTGTGTGCTTTCATAGGGGGAGGGCAGTCTCTGTGCTTCACACCCATGGGATTCAGTGCGCACGCTCTGGATCGATCGGTGCTGTAGCAAACTCTTTTAACGGATTTTCGCGCCCAGTCCCTCAGGCATGCGCAGGAACCCCACCGCACAGGCCCAGAGGGGTGGGTGCGGACATCCCGCCAGTTCCTTTCTTACCGCTGCATTGAGTAGACCTCTTCTTCGTCGGTATGATCGGTTCGCTATTAGCTCACCTCACAGCTCTTAGGAATGATTTCCAAACTTCTTTTACTTTATTTTTTGTTTGTTTCTTCTTCAAAAACAGTTTAAAAAAACCCAAATATTTTGCTTTCGGTTGAGGGGACTTTACCTCAGGCCTTCGGGCTACCCCCCCCCAAAAAAAACGTTCCCACATCTTCTTTTCTTTTATGGAGAAGAAGTGGGGATTTTTAATAGGTGCAGGGGTTGCGGTAGCAAACTTGCTCCTCCCGACCGCCATACCCTCTGCATTTTTTACCTCGGAGAGTCTCACCAGCCAGAGTCCTGTCACCACTGTGCACGTTTCTCCAACCAAACGAGAAAAAAACGTGCTGCGTGGCTTAAAGTGCCGCTGCTTGAATTGGCCCTTCCTCCTGCCTCAGCGATGGAGGAGAGACCGTCAACATCGACAGCTCCGGCATTGAGACCTGCCTCCAATGTCGACCACCCAACGCCGAAGCTATCGGCATCGAAGGCACAATCGTCCGCTTCCACGCCAGTCAAAAAGAAGGCTAAGGCAAGTAAGGATCACAAGTCCACTAAGAAGGGCACGTCCAAGCCCCTGAAGGCAGCGAAGAAGGGGAAGGAAGTGGTGTCTGCACTGGGTGATGCACCTAAAGTGCCTCCCACTCCAACGGCAGTATCGATATCGGAGGCCCAAGCCCCTCCACCGATACCGACCATCAAACTATTGGATTCCCCCGTCCAACAAATGGAGCGTCCTTACTCCGACATCGACACGGCGGAGCTCCTAAGTCACCAAATGGGTGCAGAGCTTTTCCCCGCTCATTCGACTTCGTCGACATCGACAGTATCGGAAGCTCCCGACATCGATCCACGTCGGCACCGATATACTTCATGTGACACGCAGCGTCACCCTCCATATCTGCAAGGTCAATCTGTCAATATCAACGACCGAGACTACAGGGACGGCTCTCACAGACGGGCTGCTGCTTTGTCTCCCAGATGTCCACGGTCCAGAAGTTGCTCCCCAAGAGTCTTCCTGCCCCACCACCACCACCACCAATGTCGTGGGATCAACGACAGTTGAGGTACCTGTATGAAGCTTATCCACCATCCATGCCGTGGTTGACTCCGGCGGGCTACTCTGATTGGGATCGCTATTCGTCCCACTCTGTTCATAGGTCGAGAAGA